AATATCGTAACTACTATTTTGTTGTTATTAATATTTACCTATGGCTCATAAGCGTAGGTATTTCTCTTTACTTATGGTATTTTAGATGTAGGTATAGACTCACTAAACCTTTACCTACAAAACGTAAAAGTGTAAGAACATGTACAAAAGTGTAGTTAGATATCTATAGTTACGGGACATATACTTACACTTTTTTTACCGTAGGTATAAGTCTTGAGATGCATATACCTATAGATTTTTATCATATATCTACGGTTTTTGTCCATAGCTAAATGGCAAAAATGCTGTAGTGGAGGAACCAGTGGGAGTCTATGCTCTGCATGCTTGCCTCAGCTATACCGAACAAGAAGTCCATATATGAGGTAAATGGGAGCCCAATTACAAAGCATCAAGGGTTCTTAGTGTTTAGGTTTGAAGATTATAATTGCACAATTGAATACTATAGAAGTCCATATCTGGTGGTCCAGGGGAGCCCTCCCCATGGAGCTCCAAAAGGTGTTAGGATGACTTTGAGACTGGATCATATTAGTTGGACTCACCTTATGTGGAAAGATGCAGATGTGCTGGTTTTCAACACTGGCCATTGGTGGACTTATGGGAAGACGGTGAGAGGGTAAGTATCCCTACTTATGAATTTTGCTGGTGTTGTGTGTGCTTCTATCTTGTCCTTAAAATGCTTTAACTGCCTAAAAATAGTGAAAAGATTATATATATGTTAAAGTTATTCCTTCTTCGTGACAATGAATTCCCATGGACAGAAATCAGAGGTCCTTTTGTTGGAATTCTCTAATGTTAGTTATAGCAAACTCTAGCCATAAAAATGAAGGATTTATGATCTTTTTAATTTATGTTATGTTTTCAGTGGTTGTTATTTCCAAGAAGGGATGAACGTGATGATGGATATGGACATTAGGACTGCTTTTCAGAGATCAATGGAAACATTGGTGGATTTTATTGGTACTCATGTAAATACAACCAAGACCCAAGTTTACTTCCGAAGCTATGCTCCTGTGCATTTCAGGTCTTACCTCACTGCTTTATTTTTATTATATCGCTGATTATCATTTGTTACTCTGATTTCAGCTTGGTTTAAAAAAACTTTAAGGTCATTTCCTCGTTTTGGTCAAGGCCTCTTTCTATTTGATATCAGAATTTAATACTTGGGATAAGAAATAGGAAGATGTAGATTTTATTGTTTAGGACTATTGGACTGTAGGTGCTCCAACAGCTGTGCTCTTGGCTGAGGTTGTTATGAGGTTTTTGATTGTGTAAACATGAAACCAACAATGAACTATGGATGCAGTAGTTTTATACCCTTTTCCTAGTTTGCTCCAGAAGTAACGAGAGTGCAAAGTGGAGAAACAAAGACTATCCTGAATTTTACATTGAACTATGATTGATTACTGATCTTGGCTGTATGTAACAGAGGTGGAACGTGGAAAAGGGGGGGCCATTGTCACCAGTTAAACCAGCCTGACTTTGGTCCGTTGCCTAATAAAACTGAAGAGCATGTTGACTTAGTCTCCGACGTGTTGTCCAAATACTCAAACGGGATGCAAGTGATGAACTTTATGAACGTGACATCCATGACATATCAAAGACAAGATGGTCACACGTCTCTGTATCATTTTGGACCAGGGAATGGACCAGGTCCTCTCCACCGCCAAGATTGTAGCCACTGGTGCTTGCCTGGTGTCCCTGACTCGTGGAATGAGCTTCTCTATGCACTTTTTCTCAAGCGGGAGTCTATCGATCGAACATAACGTTCTCAAGCCAATGATGGTATACAAAGTTCATTGATTTACGAAAATGTTACAAAAGTGTTAAGATTATAAGGAAAACGATCACCTGTCCTGACCACGGTTTGACATATATAGCTTCATCAGCATACAACATTCTGCGGCAAATTCATACTTTTCCTTAGGCTTTGTCCACAGGTTTAGCTAAGATTTAGTTCTCTTTTTGGCAGTGTAGAGAGGATTATAGGAATCATTTCTGATTGTTGGATTTCATATCTAATAATCTGATATCACCATAGTTGGATACATAATAGTTCCATAATTTAGTCATAGTTAGAGGGGAAAATTTGTTGGCCTGAAACTGATGGAAATTTCTTTGGAGTGGACAGAATTTGGAGAAAAAAGAATTCCTCAAACCATCACCTGTATTTTCAATTTTTCAAGTATAGACTAGAGACAAAACTGCTGGAATTTTAATACAAAAGAAAAACTGTTTGTTTTCCTTCTTTTGTTGGTATGTTGGAACTCAGCTGTTCAAAGCTTTGAATTTGGAACCTAATTTCACTCTAAAAATCAGGTTTCATAGTTAAATACTACAAGTTAAAGGTCCTAATTGTGCTAAGCCTTAAATATTCTCTTTTTAGAATTTAGTTCTCACGGGATTTTGGAAATTTAAACGTTTTACATTGAGTAATGTTTATGTATTTTTAATGAGTTTCTAATTTTTCAGTTTAAATTGTTTTAAAAAAGTATAGTAAATGGTGATGCTATCATAATATCCTTAATAAATTTAAGATTAAAAGAGTAAATTCATTTCTATATTGTACATTTTGTAGCTCCTACTGAAAAAACAAATTATTATATTTTTATAATCGAGGTTTCAACTCATATTTCTTTTTATTATTATTATTATATTAAAATTAGATACATATATTAATTAAGTGGAAAAAAAAAATTGAATTCGTATAATTCGAACACATCATTTATAGAAAGTAAATGATTTTAACTCAAAATCCATGTTATTGACCGGAAACAAACTGTTTCATATCTTTTATTATGAATAAAATAGTATTACTAACAAAATATTAGTATAAATAAATCAAGAAAATAATATTATATTTTCTAAACCAAACCCATTTTTTTGGATAAACAATTTATTTTCAGCTTCAAAATTCAAATAATCATTTGAACTTTTTTCTGGTTAATGAGATAGACCTCCATTTTTCACGTGAAATCTGTTCTTGTTCTTATCACGAGAGCCCACCATTCAATAGTTACTTGAGGCATTCAACCAAAAATAATAAAATTAAAGGCATGTATAATTTCTATTACTGGTTTTTATTCACTCTCACCTCAGAACAAAAATTTAGAAATCCCACCACTAAAATTACGCTAGTCATTCTATCTGCTACTCGTTTTATCTCAAAATGATTATCGTTATTTAATTTTAAATTTGTTTTAAATTAATTATTATTTTTTATTTTTAAAGATAAATAAATATTTTTTTTATTTTGACTCTA